CTGTATTCCGGAAGCTTCGGCAACATATTCTGCAGATAAAAATAAGTAAAAAAGTTCTTATAAATGTATGTCCTAAAATGCTTAGTTTCGGAGATACAGGGTGTAGAAGTTTCATTTTTATTTCGATTTTTTCCAAATAATTTCCGAAGTTACGTCAATATTTGGATGAAAATTGGCGTCTAGGAGTTTTTTGATATGAGAAATTTGGGATTTCGATGATAAAAGATATGAATATATAGAGTGTTCCAATTAAATAACAAAGACAAACTATTTTATATTTTAGAATCTTTGGCATAGAATTTTGAATACCCTGTATGGTTTAAGATTATGCTATTTATAGCAAATTAGGCACAGACTAAATATAGTAAATACGTTGTGTAGTTTTGATTTCAGGACATTTCTTGTATTTTTAATATTATTTTTTAAAAAGAGCTGAAAAATATATTTTTTTGTTCATTTATCTCTTAAATTATCAAAACATATACAGGGTGAGTTTTAAATAAGTGCAAATATTTTCAGGGGTGGTATATTTCGACCCCAGGAACACGTCTATGAGTTTTTTTCGTTAAAAAAAGATATTGAAAATCATGCATTTTCTTTCAAATTTCCCTGTATATTTTTCGAAAACTTTTTAGAACTGTCTGTTCACCGCAAATTTTCCCACGGTATGATTTCTTAATCTCAGATATTAACATAGTTACGGTTTTACTCTATGGTTACGGCAATAAAAGGGATGCAAATACAGAAAAAATCCGGTGGCTCTGAAAATTTTTTCAAAGAAATATATTTTTTAAAATTTTAAAACTTAAATACCTGTATAATAATATTTTATAGATACCCTGTATATAATAATATTTATACCCTGTATAATAATATTTTAGGATTATGTAAGATGATTAGAAAGGAAGCCAAAAATGCAATAATTTACAGGGTGTTCCATATAACAAAATCATCCTAATCCACTCACACTTTTTTGAGCCCATCCTATAGAAGTTAAAATATTTCCATACAATACATCCTAATAAATACTTTAGGTTTGCACTTACCAAATACAATACAAAATTCCTAAGTTTTTTCTTATAGGAACTACAGATGCCCGACGCACTATTGCCGGACCCGTATATTGTATAAATCGTAATAAAAATCTATACTGATATATAAAATCCTTAAGTGACTGACTCACTCATTAATCACGATCCTGCTCAAACCACTCAACGTAAGAGCTCAATTTTGGCATACAGGTTGATTCTTGGGTGGAGGTTCGATAAGAAGGGATTTTTCGAAATTCCAGTTCCAAGGGGGGAAACCACCCCTCAAATATTACAATATTTTTTATTTAAAAAACAGTCATGTTTCCGAAAAAACACTTAAACACTTATATTTTACTTTATTTTTTACATATTTTAAGATTTTTTAAAAATGTATACAGGATGTTTTGAACAATCTGGTCATTGAATCACGATCCTGCTAAAGCAATTGACGTAAAAAGCTGATTTTTGGAAAACGGATTGACTTTAGGGTGTAGAGGTTCGATAAGACGGGATCTTTCGAAACTCGAATTCTAAGGGGGTGAAACCACCATCAGAATATTTTTTATTTCAAAACTGGTGAGTTTTTCGGAAAAA